GCAATAGATGTTAGCTCAGAGCCGGTCTTCCTCAGCAAAAAGAGGAGGATTAGCATGGATGTTAGCTCAGGGCTGATCTTCCTCACACACACACACACAAAAAAATAAATAAATAAAATAAAACAAACAAACAAAAAAAACAAAAAACGAAGACAAGCTGGAAAAAATATATGCTCAGCTGGAATCCCTGATTCCTCAATTTGGAGTCTGCAGATGGGAAGCTGACCTCTTGCTTTCCAATTCTCTGTAATCCATGTGGGTTTAATCTTGGGGATTTGATGAACTGCCCAACTACCCCCAAGTAATTATAGAATTTCAGGAATCTTAGAGATCAGCTCCTTCAAATCTCACCTTCCCCTCCCCCCATTTTAGAGAGAGGAGACTGATACTACAAAACAGGTCTTGCCCACAGTCACACAGCCAGTAAGGGAGTAAACTAGGTTTTGACTCCAGACCCAGTGCTCTTTCCCTTGTGTTCCTGCCTCATCCCTGAGGGCTGAGGGGGCCAGTTAGCAGAGTTGAGCAGTTTATTCCATTTTCCTTAGAGATTTCTGAGTTCTCAGGGTAAGTGACTGATTCACTTTGCTTAATAAAGTGACACGAGGACAGAGGCAGAGCACTGCATGGTCATGGGATGGGGGGTCTTGGCTGACTCTGCCTGTGACTCACCGTGCAGTGTTAAGTAATTGTTTTTCTCTTAAATCTCAGTTTTCTCATCTGTACAGTGGTAGACTAATCAGTTAGTGGATTGAAAGTATCTCTTTCAGGGCCGGCCCTGTGGCTTAGTGGTTAAGTGCGCGCGCTCTGCTGCTGGCGGCCCGGGTTCGGATCCCGGGTGCGCACCGACGCACTGCTTCTCCAGCCATGCTGAGGCCGCATCCCACATACAGCAACTAGAAGGATGTGCAACTATGACATACAACTATCTACTGGGGCTTTGGGGGAACAAAAATAAATAAATGAATAAAATTATAAAAAAAAAAAAGAAAGTATCTCTTTCAGCCCGTGGGGCTCCTAGAACAACTCTTTCACCAAGATCCTTCCATCCGGAAAGTGAGAAATCAGTCATCCTCAGAGGAACTGCAGAGGAGCAAAGGGTCTTGTTTGTATCAGATAAGAATCAGAATGTCTGTTGTATGGCTCTTGTTCAAGTGAAATTTTATTCAAGTATTTTAGAGTCTTCTGAGTGCAGAGCACTGGACCACTGGGGAAATACAGAGATACTTATTCCTTTGTTTATTCCTCACCTGCTCTGTGATCATCCCTATGCTGCAATACTGAGATCATCCCTGTCCCCAAGGATCTTAGGCCTATAAGTTGCAATTCCTGCTCTTAGGAAGCTTACCATCTAGTTGGATCACTATATTGGTTAGCAGTCTTTCAGTGGCAAGTGACAGAAACCCAACTCAAACTGGCTTAAATAAATAAAAATAAAATAAAATAAAGAGGGTAAGGTTTTTGGCTCAGATAACTTAAAAGTCAAGAGTAACTTGCTTCAGGCATTGATGGATCCGGATGCTCAAATAACGCCATTAAGAATATGTTTCTCTCCATTTCTTGGTCCCTCTGTGTTGGCTCATTTTTAAGTCCACTTCTCTCTTTTTTTTATAAATTATTTATTTATTTATTTATTTATTTTTCTCCCCAAAGCCCCAGTAGATAGTTGTATGTCATAGCTGCACATCCTTCTAGTTGCTGTATGTGGGACGTGGCCTCAGCATGGCTGGAGAAGTGGTGCATCGGTGCGCGCCTGGGATCCAAATCCCGGGCCGCCAGTAGCGGAGCACGTGCACTTAACCGCTAAGCCACGGGGCCGGCCCAGTCCACTTCTCTCTTGAAGGTGACAAATAAGGCTACTAGCAGCTCTGAATTTACATTGCTTTAGCTTAGCAGTGCCTGTTACCCCATGGTTCTAGCAAAAGTTCCAGGGCTGATTCTTATTGGCTCGGCTTTGGTCAAGTGTCTACCTCTTAATTAATCAGTGTGACTTTGTCTAGGGCCTTGGCCACATGCCCATCCCTGCAACACATGGACTGATAGTGGAGAAAGGTCAATTCCCAAAAAGGGAAATCAAATGTGACCCCTGGAAGAGGGGACCATAGGTAAGACAAGTGCAGACAGAAGCCTCAACCTGGACAGTCTGAGCACCGATATATCCTGGTCTGTAAGTGCTGAGGAAACCCAGGGCAACCGAGGAGGCTCCTGGATTAGTTGGGAGGTGAGGCTTGAGTTGGGCAGGGTGT